TTTTCTGTGTTCCAAGCAATTTGCTTGTTGTTAATTTACATTCTCATTGGCACCTTGTGATATTTTCCCTTAATCTGATTGGTTGTTGTGATAATTCTGGGCTGGTTTTGCCAAAGTCATTCTTATGAGCTAGGTTCATGTTTGTTCCAGAGGGAAATGTATTCTTTTGAATATATAAATTCCAGGATTTTTCTGCAGCTTTTCCACACTGATATAGTAAACATTATCCCAATATGTAACTAAATCATAGATAACTGTACCTTGTTTTGCAACAATTTCTGCATTAGTATGGGATGTCAGCGGAAATAATGAAATATACTTTGTGTTTTCTGGAAAATGCTACAAGAAGATAAAACAGTGTTAATTGAGCAAAAGATTATTTTCAAATTACAATAACACCACTTTGACATGAAGAAAAAATGACACTGAAATGTGGTTCATTAACATGATGGTAACATGATCTTGGACAGCCCCCAAGAAAAGACAATGTTACTTATATACCACACAGGTGTATAGTGTTTTTTTATCCACATTGATTGGCTGGTTGAGAAGTGATTGGCATGTATTGTTCACCTTCAAACAGCCAAATTTATTAATAATTTCTGACCATTCTTTGGTATATTGATGGAAATAAACTGATTTTTTTCGATTTCTGTGTGGTATACACAAACAATTATTCTAGGTACTCTTGGGAGTCATAGGTTACACCAGGTGCTTAACTCCTGAACTCAAATTTAACACTGCCAAAAACAAAACCAATTCAAGAGGAAACTAGGACAAAATTAAAACATTTTTTAGACAAATTTTATCAGACACCACCCTTTGCTTACTTGAACATAATTCCACTGCTGCTTGATCTCCTCAAGTTCTTTCAGTGCAGAATTTCTATAAAAATTTAGATCAAATAAAAACATGTATATTAAGCAAAAACCTACATTAATGCATAGAACAGAGTTGTAATAAATTTTTCACCCCTTACTTTTGAAATACATAGGCATTTCTTTTTTATCATTGTGTCTTAATTCTGAAGTGAACAGTGGAGTAATGTGTTATTGTGTATAACAGGGAAACTTTGGTATTATCAACAGAGTTGTTAATATAAATTAGCCACTGTAAAGAGTTTCAAAGCTGACGTTTTGAGTGTTGTTCCTTTGCCATTTGCTCTGACTAACCTTGTTTCAATATCCTCTGCATCACTGAGCTCTTTCATACAGGATTTGAACCTTCTAAAGATCTTTTTTTTCTCTGAAAAGAGAAAGAAAAAACAAGAAAAAATTTAATTTTTTTTAATCTGAAAACAAAAATATTACTAGTAGGATCTTTTACTTAATTTGGATACAAAGTGTAAACCATGGATAGAGAGTAATGAAGTGTTACCAACTGAATTGAAAACATAAATTGGCTTTAAAATTCAACTCAGTTGTTAACACTAAATCACCTGCTATACTCTCCCACTGACACAACACCAGAGTTTCTTTAGACCCCCTTTATTCATGGATAGAAAGGGTGGCAACTTATATCTGTGATGTTAAAATAAATAAAGACTTCTGCTTGAATTGGTTTCTGTTTGGAGGGAGATGCAGGGGCCTTAAAGTTAGTGTGCTGGACTCCAGGGTGAGCACTGACCAGGTCATTCTGTTGTGTCCCTGAAGCAAAACAATTTGCTTTGACATTTCCTCTCCTCACCCAGGAGTATATATGGGTACCAGCCGACTATCAGATAAGTCCGGTGAAATGCTGAGGGGAAACCTTGCAATGGACCAGCATCCCATCCAGGGGGGGGAGTAGTTATACTTCTAGTCTCTTCATACAGATCAATATCAGTATCTGGGCAACTGCCCACCTACCCCTCCCCTAACCCAACATTAACCCTAACTTGTTATCAATTGACTGTTGTTGAGTTAGGGGAGGGGTAGGTGGGCAGTTGCCCAGATACTGATATTGATCCCTTGATGCTACAGAAACTACATAAGCTCCTCCTTGGCTCAAGCACACACTTTTTTTTTCTTTGGTTTGTGCAAAATAATGCATTTTCTTTTCTCCTCATGATTTTTTCTCAAAATTTACTTCATTATGCAGCTAAACCTCAAATTTACATACAATAAAGGTGTTAGAATCACCAACCAAAGAATTTGACTTTTTTAGATCTTTTCTCAATCCTTCTCTGTTTGTCTTCCTTTGCTTTATCTTTAATTGTCTCTTTTAGGACATCAAGCATGCGCTCCTGAACAACTCTCACTGTTGCTGGAAGATCACTCTAAAAAAATGGGAAACACCAAAATATATTTTAAAAAATTTTTCATTCAAATAAGACTTTTCTTTCAATGTGGAGCAATACAATAGTCTACATTATAAAATAATTCAAATAGTACGCGCACTCTGATTGGCCATAAAACCATTTTACATGAGCATATGTAAACACGGTTTTCGTTCCTCTTTCTTAAGTTATTTTATAAAAGAAATGTAAAATGGTTTCCGTGTTTACATAGCCTGATGTAAACACTTGGGAGGTTGGGAGAACACGAGATAAGCTGGAAACCACTCCGCTTCGCGTCGTGGTTTCCTACACTTATCTCTTGTTCTCCCAACCTCCAGCAAGTTTACATCAGGCTATGTAAACACGGAAACCATTGTACATTTCTTCAATGGAATTGGTAGTTGTTGAGAATATATATTTTTGGCTTTTTTTGAAGGATGGGAGAGATGAAAAGGCAGTAATCTCAAAAGCCAGGGAGTTGAAAAACTCCGCGCTTTGATAGAAAACGGTAAAACTGACAAATATAAATGTCCTATGTAATTGTAAGCAAAAGGTGTTTGCACGCCTTGTGTTGTAGCTGTGGATTTTGATGTCTTATTTCCCCTTACTGCATCACTTATGAATCAAACATTTCGGTCATGAGAATTAAGAAAATGATCATTAAACTTGTCAGTACTTGTCAAACCTCCTTGTCAAATGCATAGTGAACAGTATGGAGAATGATGAAGCATACAAGTTTACTGCTGTGACTGCAGCGACCGTGAGCTTTTTTTGCGTCTCATTTCATCTTACAATCTCGTGATATAAGGCACTAACTTAATGTACGAGAAGAAACAAGATCACTGGAACAGTACAGAAGACAGAACGTAACTGCAACGAGCTTTTAGTTTCTCTCTTTTTTTTTCCAGGGCCCTCTGTGGAAAATTAAGGCTTAGCAGTTTCTCTAAATGCTGAACTCTGCTGAAAAAAACTACCTCAAACAGCTGACGAACAAATTAATGAACACGCTGCAAATAACAGCTAGAATGTATTTGTTCAAATATTCGAGTTGTCTCACCTTTTTAAGCAGTCTCTGTACGTCTCTAACCTTATTTTTAAGGGATTTATTATGTTTGATCTTTTTACCATCGCCTTGCGAGGCCTTTGTGAGACGGTTTGATCTCTGATTTCTGTATCGTGGACCCATGATGGCCAGCACTGCTATGTTGAAGGAAGCATGGGCATTTGTAAGGTGGCGACGTGAAGCACAACCGAGGAGTACTAAAAACCAGTTTCCGAGTCGGGCGGTCCTCGGAAATTGTCGACAAAATCTAACAGTTGAACGACGTTGATAACCTACATGTATATATTTTTAATTCAGCTAACATGTTAAGACTACAGGATAAAGAGTAAATCAAGGAACTGTTTTCTACATGCAGGTAAGCACAACAGAGTGCTTTTAAGGAGGCGCACGCTAAGGCACGGTGCCCGCGATATCTAAGTCAGCGTTTACTCGCTAAGGGAATTAACTTTGAAAAAAAAAGGAATGAGAAATGGAGGCATAGAGGGGAGGGAGGAGAGACTGATCGGTGTCTCTTTTTAGACCATGATTCGCTGTTCTTTACAGGCACTAAGCAAAGAAACAAGAGAAAAATTATGAAAGAAAAGATTTCTTTTCTTTGTCTTATTTTTCAATGTTTTATCTTATTCCCAAGACACAATGAACTTCCCCTACCGCTCTCTGTCACAAAATGCAAATTCTTCTCTTAGAGTCGACCAAGTCATGAATGGTTTTAAGTGAGCAAATGATATCGTCTTTCAGTTAGACACTCAGAAGATCTCCGCCAAAACAACTTTCTTGTATAATTAAGTTACTTAACCAGCTTTTCATCGGAAACGTGCTTTCATATGCATATATCACCTGGTGATGCACGGAACACTAAAAATTCGTTTCGAGACAGCTTCGACGGATCTATTGTCCGAGGCGCTTCTGCAACGTCTCGTCTGAAAACCACGGCCATTAGCCGTGTATGAAAATTAAAATAAGGACATTTAATGATCTCCCAAGTGAACTCTTCACATGTCCTATTAGGTATCATGGAGAATGAACACCACGATGCCTTCAACATTTCAAAAGGAGGCTATTGCACAAAATCCTGTTACGCCAAGCTCATCCAGGTTACAAAAGACCAGAGCGTATCGATATACATTGGGAGGAAAGAAGATTGGCAGCAAAGGCTAAATCGAAAGATTTTCAAAAGTTTCTTGATACGTGGAAATTTAGGTTCGACCGAAACGATAAAATATCATTGTTGTTTTTTTTCTACACAAATTCTTTCTGTTGTATTCTAATATAAAAAAAACTGTGAATTTTTCAAAAGATGCGCATGTTTCGTTATAATGGAAAATGGACGTTAAATTATCTATCCCGCGATAAAGTGATGTGGTTCGCCGCTGTTAAGGCGTTTTACTCGCTTGAGTTCGTCCTCCTTTTAAAAATACATTTTTGCTTTTCTTTAAACAGAAAACTTCCCCTGAGCGGAAGAATATTCTCGGTGTTGAAACAAAAATATTCGATAACTCCCTTTCTTAGCCGCAGAGAAAATAAAACCCACATTCGCTGTCGCCCAATAGTGGTGCTTATAATATCTGATTCAACGGTTACTTACTAGAGCGATAAAGAAGACGACCCCTCCCCTCCCCTCTCATTCTCGAAGTGCACACTTACTTCCGTTTCCTTTCTGGGAATCGAAAGCCCGAAGAACTCCTGAAGTTAATTCTTTTGCAAAGTTAAGTCGAGAAAACGGATTTTACTTGCTGTGATTGTTTTAGTGGATGCTTCGGTGCCGTATGCTCTGGAAAGCAAATAACAAAGCCAGAAGTCTCAAAGGTAAGCTAATACTTCGCACTTTGCCACCTTTCGACAAAGGCCTGATTACATAATGATGGTAGTATGGCGCTATGCGGAAATATTGCCGAAGATAAGTACTGTTAGACACACTTTTGATTGAAAATTCTTATCTACTCACCATTTTGACGAGGCCACACAGGCAATTTTAAATGCAAGTGAAATAACTTTTAACCTTTATACGAAATTATGTTAATTATTATTATTATTATTATTACTATAATTTTTTGTGTCTTTTTTCTTCGCAACACATCTAAACATTCTTTTACCCATTGTAATTTATTATATAAATATTATTGTATCACGACAGAATAGCCTCGTATAGGGGGGGCCGTAATAATAAAGTGTATTGTAATATGTATTGATCCTGATGTCACGCAAGCAGAAACTCGTTTAGTGAATTGTTGTGTGACATTCACAAGAATTGCTTTGAAGGAGACTATCAATTTAAAGAAGAATATTCAATTCAGATCGCCTTTATCAGACACTCAGTTGCACTTCCATTTAAGAAGATGGGCTTCTCTTGGTTAGGAGTGTCTGTATGATTACAAACTCGTTTGTTTCGTTAATTGCAATTACATCTCTCAGTTAGTACGTGTGCTATTCTCGGTCAATTTGACAGTACGTATCTCACGGTTCGCCCGCTGAATTAAAAACTTTGTTCGAATTGAAATACTCCTCCTCTACTTAAACCCAGAGAGATAGAAAATATCTTACTAACCTCGTTTTCCAGGCCTGTTCTTAAATTATAAGTTACGGAACCTCGCTTTTTCCGCTCGATCGGATTTAATTAAGAGGTACTGATTTACCTCCATGCATTTGCTAAAGGATAGATCCTTGCCATGAAGATTTAAATACAAAAACGTGAGCTCTTGACAGATTCAGAAGTATTGAATTTATACCCACTAAGAATAGGTTTCCCTGATAGAAAATGCATGCACCAAATAAGAAAACTCTGGGAATACACAGACATCACGATTATGGCTATCGTTCACTGCCATAGATGTCTCCTAGGACATTGTGTGTCCTGAACGTTTCCAAAAACCATGAGTTCTTTTTGATAGAGTACTAATTTAAGTTTGCTGTTTTAAAATATATTTTCAAACTTAGATATCGCTCGAATTTGCAACCCAGGGATAGCAATCCACCCACTTGCGTACTGGAAGATTGGGGGATAAAGCAATGGAATTGGAAGATAAGGTTAAAAAGCTAAAGGATGAGTTCCAAGGTTTGCCAAAGCCTCTCTTTCGAGCAATTCTTTGCAACAATAAAGTTAATGGGGACCTAACAGCAGCCGTTCGGTGCTTACAACAATTTGAACCAAAGAAAAATACCAGGATGCGCAATCTACCGGCGACAGCCGCTGACAAGGAGTTGAAAAAGGGGTTAAGTTGTACCCCCCTGGATGGACTCAGCCAGAAGGAAAACAACTGGACAAGAGAAGGTAAAATAGAGCAGCAGAAACTGCCCTGACTTTAAACTTTAAATGCTGTATTATTCGACGACATGCCAAGAAAATGCGCAAAAGAGGAGTAAAGTGTTAAGTAGTCAGCGTTTACTAACTGAACTGAGGATGCAGAAGATCCATAATTACAACATTTCGTTCCACGGACAGTGAGTTTTTTTTATTATACTTCACAGGGAAAAGGAAGAGGTCAAAACCACAACCATCAACTCTCTCAGAACGATCAATGAAAACACCGCCACCGTCACAGTCCAGCAAGCCAGCACCACCACCAAAGCCACAATCCGCTCGATTACATTCACAATCCAGCATACCAAGACCATCTGTTGCAACGAAACTAAGATCAACTCAGTCACCGCCACAGACCAGTAAACCACCACCGCCTCCTGTTGCTCCGAAACCACGATCAACTCAGCCACCGTCACAGACCAGGACCGGTAAACCACCACCAGCTGTTGCTCGGAAACCAAGATCAACTCAGTCACCGTCACACACCAGGACCAGTGAACCACCACCGCCCCCTGTAGCTCTGAAACCACGATCAACTCAGCCACCGTCACAGACCAGGACCGGTAAACCACCCCCGCCACCTGTAGCTCCGAAACCACGATCAACTCAGCCACCGTCACAGACCAGTACCGGTAAACCACAACCGCCAGCTGTTGCTCGGAAACCAAGATCAACTCAGCCACCGTCACAGACCAGGACCAGTAAACCACCCCCGCCACCTGTAGCTCCGAAACCACGATCAACTCAGCCACCGTCACAGACCAGGACCGGTACCCCACAACCGCCAGCTGTTGCTCAGAAACCAAGATCAACTCAGTCACCGTCACAGACCAGTACCGGTAAACCACCCCCGCCACCTGTAGCTCCGAAACCACGATCAACTCAGCCACCATCACAGACCAGGACCGGTACACCACAACCGCCAGCTGTTGCTCGGAAACCAAGATCAACTCAGTCACCGTCACAGACCAGGACCGGCAAACCACCCCCGCCACCTGTAGCTCCGAAACCACGATCAACTCAGCCACCGTCACAGACCAGGACCGGTACCCCACAACCGCCAGCTGTTGCTCAGAAACCAAGATCAACTCAGTCACCGTCACAGACCAGTACCGGTAAACCACCCCCGCCACCTGTAGCTCCGAAACCACGATCAACTCAGCCACCATCACAGACCAGGACCGGTACACCACAACCGCCAGCTGTTGCTCGGAAACCAAGATCAACTCAGTCACCGTCACAGACCAGGACCGGCAAACCACCCCCGCCACCTGTAGCTCCGAAACCACGATCAACTCAGCCACCGTCACAGACCAGGACCGGTACCCCACAACCGCCAGCTGTTGCTCAGAAACCAAGATCAACTCAGTCACCGTCACAGACCAGTACCGGTAAACCACCCCCGCCACCTGTAGCTCCGAAACCACGATCAACTCAGCCACCATCACAGACCAGGACCGGTACACCACAACCGCCAGCTGTTGCTCGGAAACCAAGATCAACTCAGTCACCGTCACAGACCAGGACCGGCAAACCACCCCCGCCACCTGTAGCTCCGAAACCACGATCAACTCAGCCACCGTCACAGACCAGGACCGGTACACCACAACCGCCAGCTGTTGCTCGGAAACCAAGATCAACTCAGTCACCGTCACAGACCAGGACCGGTAAACCACCTCCGCCACCTGTGGCTCCGAAACCACGATCAACTCAGCCACCGTCACAGACCAGGACCGGTACACCACAACCGCCAGCTGTTGCTCGGAAACCAAGATCAACTCAGTCACCGTCACAGACCAGGACCGGTAAACCACCTCCGCCACCTGTGGCTCCGAAACCACGATCAACTCAGCCACCGTCACAGACCAGGACTGGTACACCACAACCGCCAGCTGTTGCTCCGAAACTACGATCAACTCCATCATTTTCAAAGTCCAGCAAGCCAGCACTACCACAAAAAACAGAATCAACTTCAACACCCTCACAGTCTAGCAAACTAATACCACCACCTGTGGCACTGAAACCACAATCAATTCGATCACTTTCACAGTCCAGCAGGAAAGCATCATCACCCAAACTACAGTCAGCTCCACCACCTTCACAATCCAGCAAACAAGAGCATCCACAAGAGTTAACTCATTTACTCTCACCGTCCAGCAGGCAGGCATCGCCACCAAATCCAAAGTCATCAGGATTTGCAAAGCAAGGAATCGATTTCAAGCCGGAAGCAGGTAACACTAACTTTCGATTAAAAAATGTAAAAGCCAAGAAAGTCAATTTGCGGAGTCTGTAATCTACCGCATTGTTTACAGTTGTATGCCGTTGCATTTCGGTGCAGCCACGTCTTGGCTAGGTGTACTTCACCCAACTTATAGTTAACCCACAGGTAGTGTAAATTTTATTTTAATCCAACTGCAAATCTTTATCACTTTGGGAAGGGTCTTTGTTTGTCCTTTAAATTGACGATTATAGTGCCCAAGACCTCAAAAAAAAAGTTATTCATGAAATCTAGACCTGTTTGTGTAAATCAGCCCTCCATTAATGTAACATACTAGGTTTGTGTCCATAATAACGTTCTTGCGTGGTAACTAAGCAACAATCACGTGATGAGATGAGAGGCGAGGTCAAACTAATAGCTTCTTTTTCTCAAGATAGGCTCTCCGTTGAAGTAAGAGCCAGTTTCCAACATTTAAGAAATCTCACATAATAGCGGAGATTCACTTTTTAACTAAAGCATTTTATCTCAAAGGAAACATTTTACCAGAAAACTGGACACCAATGTCACACGATAACGAAGGAAACGGCATCAGTTTTCACTTGGTAAAACTTGATAGCTCTTCACCTGAGTACCAGAAAGTCATGGATAGAATTTTAGAGACTCTCCATTCAGTTGATATCGTGAGTATAGAACGGGTACAAAATTATTATCTGTATCAAGCTTATCAGTTGCTGAAGCAAAAGATGGAATCTGACAGGGGAGAAAGCAACGAGCGACAATTATTCCACGGCACCATTCCTGACAACACAAAGAAAATCAATTACTCAGGATTCGACTGGAGATTCTCTGGATCTGCACACGGTAAGCATTCTTTCCTAACTAGGAAATGGTTGGCTCAAATGACCACCACGAACCGCATAATATCAAGCCACGCTTTAATAATTATTATTATCAATATACGCGGCCAAATAGAAAATCGGCCTCTTCAAAACACACGCTCAGCGGGCCGCAAAAGACTGACAGCGGGCTGTTAATACATTATCAGCCCTACAGCTGATATTATTTATAGACGATATTTATATTTATTGTTTTTTTAGAGGGCACGGTAACGAAGCTTGCAATCTGATTGGTTCTTTACCCGGTCAGTATTTTCCTATCTCTGCCCACGGGCCACGGTAACGCTTTCGTGAGTCGCCGAGTACATCCCAACTTTCGTTGTCATTTTTCATAAACATACCTCGTTTTCCGGCTGGGCAGTCTTTTTAAGCAAACACGTCGGTTACTACCTCAAGCCGATAAATAACTTATGAATCCTCTCTTTTCTCTCTATCAAATCACTTTGGTTGACAGAAAAATATTGGTTTCAGAATGAATTTGTATAAACAATAGTGTCATTACGTTGGTTGACAAGCGGCCTAAAAACCGTCTGCAATTAATTTTAATCCTTCACAAAAAGTACCCAGAAAGTTGAAACGTGAGGTATTTGGTTACAGTTAAACTGAACGATGGAACTTTCATTCATTTAATATCTGAATTTTCTCGAGCAATTTGTTCATAGTGAAAGAGCGAGCGAAGTTTTAATTTAAGTTCTACAACAAATATACGCTCCTGGTGAGTCTTTCCAATTCCGTTCAATTTGGACATTTGTACCTTAAATTGCACAACAGAAATTGAAGGAATTTTTTGAGAAAAGGCCGCATTACATTCCCTTGTATCTCGTTGGAGTGTGCCGTTCGAATTTAGTTTTTGTGAAGGAAAGATCAGAGTTAAACACGCCATTACAGCAAACAAACGAGCAAACTCTCACAACTTCAAATAAAAAAAATTGAATTTACTCACAATTACTTTCCTCGCCGTTTACTTAATGAACAGAGGTAAATCTTCGTACATGAATGAATGGTCGATGAGAGTGAATAATACTTTCCGTTAGATCATTAACTGATTTTGAAGAAAACATTGTCGTGACAGTCCTTGCCAAACTGGTTCTGTTGGTTTTCAAATGTTCCTACGCTTTTTTTTTTTTCTTGCGCGCTCTCTAATTGACAGGTGTCAGATTGTGACAGATACTTGTAAAAATAATGTTTCAAAGTTTGTTTGGAAGCCTTTTAAATCACCTTTATCTTTACGGAAATGAAAATGTTTCGCTGAGGCATCTCTCTTAAATTTGCATCACCTCTATTTTAACTACCATTTACCCACTCAAAAATTGTTCAGTTTATGGAAGATCTTGCCGTATTTACGGCCATAAATCATTCGGGTTCTTTCGGAAAGAATTTCGTCAAGTTTAAAAACAATAAATATGTTATTTACCGGCTAAGGGTCGGTCCGTATGGTGAAAAACTGAGACCTCGGTCTTGAAAATGCTGCCCTCGGCCTACGGCCTCGGGCAGTATTTTCAAGACCTCGGTCACAGTTTTTCACCATACGGACCTCCCAGCCGGCAAATAACATATATATATTTATGTATATATATTTATATATATATGATATATATAGCTATTATTTATAGACGATTTTAAGCATTTTTTCGGTAATTTTCAATAAGTTCACTGGACTGAGTTGATTCTTTAATAGCTTGTTCAATCAACACTTACATGATGATTTGAAGTGACTTTGAATTCGCCATTCACTTAGCTTGTATTATTAAAACTCGCATTCTTGATATCATTTGGCCTTGTTTATTGATAATAATGATAATGACATGACTTTTTTACTTGCGCCCTTGACACTACGCGGGCGCAAATAAACAATATTCCCTCAAAAAGTCATGTTATTCCTTTATTCGATTTCAGTGGCAGGTCGTTACAACAGTCTCACTTTACAGGTTAGCAGATTCTCCAGATAAGCGGATTTCGAGACAGAAGGATAACAACAAAATAACTCCGTTCTCACTTCGATTCTGCTGAGTAGAATCATTGGTGTATAAACTATACACTGATATGCTTTTTTAGCCCGATTAACGCCTGCATATTGAGAATTCTTTCATACAAATTGGTGAACTTTTAATATACAAATGAAGGTCGAAGAGAAGGGTCTCCTTTGATCACGTCGGTATGAAAAGTATTTCAATTGAAGTGTTCATATTTTGTCTGTGAACGAACTGAATACATTTTGTAACTTGTCGCGAGATATGATTCCGTGAGCTACATTATTGCAGGCGCAGCGCGCTGGACAAAATCTGTGAAATTTACACATGTGATCGCTTTCCACATGGGTGGTCTGGCCAAAAATCATTTTTGGCTTGTGGCCACACAAAAAAATAGAATTGGAGAACAACTGAACTATTTTTGACGCATGTGTCCTAAACCCTTTTCATGGGCAAAAGATAAAAGAAAAGTTTTTTTCGACAGGAAGTCGGCACTTTCAACTCAAAAGCATAACAAGTGTTTTCCGTTTTAAACAGCAAATTGTCTATTATTGTGCTGGAACCAGTAAATAATCTGACCGGCTGTAAGCACCTAAAATCGTACAATATCGGTCCACTGTAAAAGTACAGAACCAAAGATAACATATTTTGCACGAGGTCTTTTCTCGCATATCATGTGATTTTGTCACACACTCGACCTAACGTGACACATTACATAACGCCACACAAGCAGTTTTACAAAAGGTTCCGTGTCCTTCAATACCAATTCAAAATCGCACTAGAAATGACATAAATTATTACTCCCATTTTCTTCTTTTGCAGGAGCTATGTATGGTGCTGGAGTCAACTTTGCCAGGGACGCCTCCTATTCAATACACTACGCAACTCGACCCAGTACTGGTCCTCATCGCTTTATGTATCTAGCCAGAGTATTGGTGGGTCGATATTGCTTAGGAAAAAAGGGCATGATGAAACCTCCTCCTGTAAATCCTGAGTTTCCGGAGATTCTGTTTGATTCCACGGTCGACAATCTGGCTAACCCTTTAATCACTGTCGTGTATCAAGACAGTCAGTGTTACCCAGAATATTTAATCACTTTTCGAAAAACAGGATGAAAATAAGACAAAATTCAACGAGGTCTTGCTGAAGAGAATTCATTAATTTTCAAAGTAGAGTAATCTTACCGGTAGACTCTTTATATTTCTTATAACGTACGAAATGTGAAAACGTTACCTAGAACAGTTTAATTTGAAAGTTAGGACATAAATAATGTATGTCATGATATACTAAAAATCCGTTAATTGAAAGACACTCTTTAGTTTTAGTAAACGTTTAAAGTTGTCTTTCAGCAGCATACTGATTAAATGAACGATTCCGTGAGGGTCTCCCACTACTGTATTTCCCTTTTATTCTGAGCTTTCGCCGATTTACCGCACCGTCAGGAAGTATAAAGAAAATATTCCACTATGCGTGATATAAAAACAATGTCGGAGTACTGAGTAGTTATAAAATTTAGCGAGGACAATGAGTTGTCCAAATGTGGCGATGGAAAACAAAAAATAACGAGGCCCTAAGGATACTTGAGGAAATAATTAACAAGATACAGGATCTTTCGAACTGGTATGTGATACAAATCACAGGAATTAATAGGATACGAGATATTCAGACCCCTCCCCCCCCCCCACCCCAGTGGGGCCGTAATAATAAAGAAAAAAAAAGCAATGAGTTGTAGCCAAAACAAAAGATCTTAGCAGTCCACTTTAAAATTCAGTGTCTCTGACATCAATAATAATCCCGGAAATTAAGTTCAAGCTTATACTTTCAAATATAAGAAGCCTCGAATAAACAGGATCATTTCCTTTTTTTCTACATCGTATAAGAAAACGACCACGTCAACTTACAATTATGTTGGGTAACAATCTTGGTTCGACCAGCGAAACGTTGAAATATTGTTTTCTTGCGCGAGCTTTCCGCAACATCTTCGACTAAAACCTGTTCATGCAACAAAAATGTCGTCATCCCGGCTATAATGATAAATAAACGTTTAATCGTTTGTCTTGCGAGACAGTGCCTCTTTTAATGTTTATAAGAAAAGCTAACTTTAATTATGGTGTTTTGTCATTTTCCGTGTCTTTAAAATCATTGCTGAAAATAACTGGATTCACACGTAACACCCGGAAAGGGAAGTCCCAATTTGGTTTGCTCCCAGTCTCTTTTTCTCCTCACGGTTTTCCAAGAAAGCCGGAAGTACGATTCCTAGAATGTTACTTCATGTAAAGTGAAAGTGCACTGCATACGAAGTAGTTATTTTATGACGGTGTTTCTGTCGGGAAAGGAAGAGGAATCCTCGCTTGAAAAATTGTAAAGATTGACGGTGAGTTTTCTGGATTCCTTGTGAATTATCCTGGTGTAATCCGTGATCGAACGCATCGATAATTTCTCAGAATTCTCAGGGATTTATCAACTAACACAAGTTCTCGCGAGCGGAACAATTTTCTGGCTTTGTACTAGAAAATACAAGCAACTAATTCCCCATAAGTACTCTCAGAAGTTATCTACGACTTCTAGTGTTAACTACTTGATAAAGAGACAAAATCTTTTACAGCTTTAGAGATGAAGCTGCCTTCTGTAATTCATAGCAAACTTAAGATATTTGCGTTTGAAACTGCAATATACTCTTACTTTCTACTGTTTTCATTTTCACTGTAGTCTTTGAGTAAGCAGTGACAAAGACCTTTTTTTCCATTTCAGCATTCGCTAGTTCTACAAGTTATCAAAGACAAGTTTCAAGCTCGTGCCTCATCAACAATGGAGGACGAATATTCATATTACGGTAAGGTTTGCTATGAATGTAAATAGAAACCAAACAGATAATATTCTAGTGTACTTATAAGATCGTTTGCTCTCATAATTGTTCGACAGTAAATTTTTACCGCTAGTTTTAGGTATAAGATTTTTGGTAAATGGATTGAGAACTTAATCTAGTAGAATCCTGCGTTAAAGCGACCGATCGAGACATTTTTGGCTCCCATATTGCAGATATCGTAGGTGTTTATTATTAACGCACCACTGCACTTGGGCTCGTGTTCATGACTTCGCAAATTTCTCGAGTTTTTATCCTAAGTTTAGTTCAAGAAATAACGTGAAAGGTGCATTTGTTGCTTATTGCCTAAATGCCCGCGATTTGAGAAATTTGCTGAAAATTAAGCGCAGTAATCTCGAAGGGTCAAAGCATCCTGAAGCAATTGTTTGTACTAGTAAATTTCTGATGCAAGCACACTTTCGGGAAACAGGGCATCAAAAAAACTTCACAATTAAGGAATTACGTCTCTTGAGATGATAGAATCCTCAAAGTTACAGGTTGATAAATCATAAATCTTTAGGTCAGCGTCGAAAAACTTTTTTTTCCCTTGCTCATCGGAGGGACATTCCCCATGTTATTTGCTCGATTTAAACCGGAAGTCCTATCACACGAGACTATCTAATGTCACTCACTATCAATTCAGCATTTTCAGACAGTCTGTGACACAAACAAATCGAATCAACACCAGGACATAAATATTACTGTCTGAGCTTGCTTCAATCAGCTACAAGCAGCAAAAATTCTTGCCCGCAACAGAGAAATGTAAAATAATCGGGAAAAATAATACCAGACAAATGCACCGTATGATTTTAAAAAAAGCTCGCTAAATAAAATGAAGCAGACACTTGGAGATGCTGTTATTTTTTATTCAGGCATATCAAGATATCTTCAGTCTTTTAATCTCGGAATGAAATGCCCACGAGTGGTTGTGTTCTACTTTAATCTAGGATCAGATAAATTATGCTAAAATATTTGAGCATTATACTTTTGAGTGTCACCCTTGAAAACAAAATGGCATTAAGGTAATTTGTTTCCATTATGCTCAGTTCAATAATTCGTAATAATTGTTAGCTTTTAAGAGCCCCTCAGCCTCCCTTCCATTCCTATCACCAACAGGTAAAACTTACTGAGAGTAAAAGGCTTAGTTCAGATCACGACAAGTTACTGGATAAAATTCCTAAAGTTTAACAAGAAAAGCAGGATCACTGTTGACTCTATGGCGACAGAATTAATTTCTTGTTAAACTGTAAAATCAAGGGAATTGTTAATTAGTTTTAATCATTATACAGGCATTATGTTTGATGCTCCAACTGTAGCATTATGCCCCAAATTACACCGGCATAATTTATCACACACTACTTCTGTCGTTGGTTTCCTCCTCACAAAAAGGAGTTTCGTCTCTCTAACTCCAAGACTGTTACGTTGAATTTTGTAGTGTAATGAAACGTTTTATTATATGTTCAGAGGCATTCAGACCCTCACTGTAGGCAGATCGTGTGCGGTTTTGGTGGAAAAAGCTACAGCGACATTTGAAACGCAGGGTGGTAGGAAGAAATTTCCAGTGGGGGAGAGAGAGGAGAGAATCCTGTATCATCACCTTCACTGACTTTTGAGGCGCTCGTAAATCAGCTGTATTTCTTTTTTTTTTTTTTTTTGTTAGTTGACTTTGAGAGGTATAACATGTATTACAGGGCCACCATTGATAAAAAACTAACTGGTCCCTCACTTTTTCATTCACAGACGACGACGACGATTATGAAGAAGAAGAAGAAGGGAATGAAGATCTTGGTTTTTTTAATGTCAGTGACTTTGTTGACAAAGAAGATGGCGGAGTTAGTGAAACAGTTGAAGAGAATATTGACAAGGAATTGGGTTTTTCATTTGCTGTCAACAAGAACGAGAAAGAAGAGCAGGAAGAGGAAGAAGAGGACCCAGAAGAATTTGAACGAAAATCAAAACAACTGCAAGAGATATTCAGTTGTTTGCCACCAGTTCTTATCAAAAGAATTCTCCGTCGAGATGACGTGAAAGGAAATATCGAAAAAGCCAGTGAGAAGCTTCAAGAGTTTCAAGATATGGAGAATCCTGCGGACCTTTTTAAAAATCCAGCTGAAGGAAAACCATTGATTACGAAACCTGAAGGAAAATTTGAAAATCCTCAGACACACGGTCCTATTAAGCAAGCTTGGGTGGCAGAGGACAAATCTTCCGGAGGCCCTGAACAGGAAAGTAATAGAGGGAAGAAAAAGAGAAGAAAACCCAGAAAAAAAAATCAGACGCAAGGGCAACATGGCGATGCAGAACGACAAGGTGAAATAAGAAATAGTTGTGATAGCGATAAGTCTGATCAAAATGAGGGGAGCCAAGCTTGTCGAGGTAACAACACAAGGCAAAGAGGCATGACAAGAGGAGGACCGCAAAGGGGACCCAGAGGTGGGTTTTTCCAGGGTCCAAACAAGACCCAAGTGTCTAGAGATGATCAATTTTATGCCCCTCAAGGACAGTGGTCTGGTCATCAAAACGCCTTTCCGTCGCAGAGAGGACGTGGAAACCAACGAGGACAAAGAGGTGGCTTTCGTCCGAACCCAATCGCAGGACATCGAGATAATTCGCTTTATGGATCTCAGGAATGGCGCTCTGGTGATGGAGGCAATTTTCAACCTGAATTGGGACGTGGAGGTCAAAGCGGTCGAGGGCGTCTACCAAAACCAAAACCGAAGCCAAAGGGTAAGGGACGAGGTGGGGGACGGGGTGGCAATTTCCAGGAGCAACATCAAGTTCCAGGAGATTTTCAGGAGAGCGATCAGTTTTCAGATGCTAAAGATTACTCTCAGTTCATGCCAAGAAAACTGAAACAACTAGGTGGAAAAGGAAGAGATTCTCAAGAAAGGGAGCTTGTCAGCAGTAAAACCCCGGCCCCCCGTCCTGCTGATCAGTCTCAATTTGAAAGAAATACAATACTCATTCGAGGGCTTAGTGAGAAAACTTCGCCAGACGGACTGGTGAACTTTATTGAGGCAAAGAGTGGTGGGGAAGAGGTCAAGGACGTACAGATGCTGAAGAATGGAAAAGCCTTGGTCACCATGGCTGATGAAATCAAAGGTACATACCTTTCAACTGAATTTATAACATGCCTAGTAAATTTGTCTCATCAAATTCAATTGCGCGAGCGTACTTCATATTGCTATTGAGCACGCTCATGACGTCAGCAAACGTATTCCTCGAGAAAAAATTTCCCATCGGGTTGAAAATGTTATAAAACAATTGGTTCATACATCAGCTGTGCGTTCATCGAGATATGAAGCACTTGAGAAGTTTAGAGAGCACTCAAGAAGCTAGAGTTGCTCTCGGCAACGCCTCGAGCAACTCTTACGCATCCTTCGTGCTCTCCAAACTCCCCGCGTGCTTCATATCTCGATGAACGCACGCTGACGTATGAATCAATTGTTAATTGGAGAATAAGCAGAAATTTCTATATCGCACTTGGATCTGTTCGCGATTTATCAGGGATGAAAGGTCACGCCACTTCAGTTTCATCCTCTTAGTTTTAAGAAATGAACTTACCTTCAAATTATATGAAATTAACTTTTCATTGATTAAGATTGTTGTATGCTTAACTAGTACCTGAAGAGTTAAGATGCCTTATTTTTGGTGTCTCACCATTAAAAGACATTTCGATTTTCTCCTCCAAACTATCAAAATAATCCAGATCAAGTAATCAATTTATTTGTGAACTGTACATGTAATTCATTGAGTGTTGTTCCTTTCAGGAACACTCTAAAAGTGGAGATCACACGAGACAAAACGTTTTTGAGAATGTGATCTATTATCTTTTAGATTTCACGAAAATAAAGACCAAATGCGAGGAGAGAGGTCTGGATGGTGCAAAGGTTTCTATCGAACAAGTCCCGGTTTGCAAAAGCATCCTTGTCACTGGGTTTTCAGACATTACCCATGATTTTATTGAACTGTACTTTGAGAGTCGTCGAAATGGTGGGGGTCCTGTGGAGAAGGTTCACCATGTTCCTAAAAGTAGTCAAGCTGTGGTTGTGTTTCAAGACGCAAAAGGTTTGTAGGTCACTGATCTCTAAAATATAAGTATAGTGTAATTCCCTCAGGCACGAATAATCGACATCTGATCCTCGAACATACGTAGCAAATATTGATTGCCCCGATTTAAGACTTGAGTTACACATTAGACTTAAGGAGGGATGAATTAGTATTTAGATCGTGAATTGATCGATTGTTTGACTGACTGATTGATTGATTGATTGATCTACTCCGCCCCAACAACCCCATCGTCCTTACTCTGTGCGTCTCTCTCTCAAATTAAAGTGTCGTGAAGTGTTGTGAAACGACAAACAACTTCCTCAAGGAAATTCCTGACACCTAGTTGCTTTAATCAATAGATATGGAAAGAGTGTTAACCAGACATGAAGAGAAACCTTATGAGATTGAACAAACCCAGCTGTCTATTAGAGCTTACCGAGAGTTTCTAGAAGACGAAGACGAAGACGTTGATGGAGCGGAGGATTCCGGTGACTTAGGAGCTACTGCAACCGCGGCCAGTGAATCTCGAGTGAGCCAGAAACCTGATGCCAAAGCACAACAGCTGCACATAGCTGTAGATCCCGATGTTATGGAATACGTCACGTCTACAGGATTCCAAGCTGAACTGAACAATTCACTGTCTGGAAAAAAGAGCGAAATCACCTGGAAACCTAACAGCAAAATGGCTGTAATAGTGTACCGTGGGGAAGATGACAGTGATTCATGGCAATCTGAATGCATTGACCAAGTACAAAATTACCTCGGCAAGTTTGCGAAGTGCGATGTGCAGGTCAACAAGGATTTCTGGGAAGCCGTTGTAGCAAAAGTTCCCAGCATTCGCACCTGCTTAGGAGTTGATCCCCCGCTGATCAAGACTATTCCTGATTCAAATATTGCTAGGATCGTTTCACTAGGAACAAACGTGAAAAGTAACGAGGATAAGGTGAAGTCAAAGTTGGAAGAAATATACCGCGAGGAGACCAGAAAAACTTACCTAAAGAAGAAAATTCCAAATGTTCCTGAGAAGCGCCTAATTTTGCTGAAGAAGATAAAATTTGCCGAGAAACTCCAAGAAAAGAACAAGGAGCTGGAGATCAAGATTAATACTGAAGGTGAAGAAATATATTTCGAAGGTCCCCAGCCACAATTCACTGAGGCAACCATGAAGTTCTACAAACAAATGGCTGACATGGTTGAGAAGAAACTAACTTTATCTGTCAGCATCCTGGAGATTTTAAACTCAGATGAGGAGCTTCAGACTGTCAAATGTGAGTTGGAAAGAAACAACGTGGAAGCAGTGTTCTTTATTGAGAAAGACGCCACCATAGTGGGATCATCAGCAGCGCATGCAAACAACGCGGCGGGGCTCGTGAACAAGTTGACGGTGGAAGAGAAAGTTCAAGTGGACGAGAAAAGCAAGCATTTGTTGAAGTCATCTGAATGGCTGAGGTTGTGTGGCGAGATGAACCAAACGGCTGTCCGTGTCCGGAGGGACAACTGGAACGATACATACGTAGCTGGGTTTCGTGATGACGTGACCGAAGTGATAAAGAAGTTAAATACCTTTCTTGAAAACAATTGCATCAGGGAGGAAAGTTTTGTGTGCACGTCTGATATTATGCGAAGGTATCTTCTTGAGCTACGTCAAGAAGATCTACGCACCATAGAGAATCAACTAAAAGATTTTGTAGTGAGTATTAAAAAGGGAAAAGACGATGATGATTTTGTCATTTCTGGAAACAGAGAGGGTTTGAAACGTGTAGGAAAGAAGCTCGATGCTCTGATGGATTCCACTGAGTTCAAAACCTTTGAAGTGAAACAGCCAGGCCTTCGAAAATACTTTGACAGTGGAAAAGGAGATCAGCTGGTAAAATCAGTGGAAAAAGATAAAGACTGTGCCATAAAAGTCCAGAAAAATTTAGGTCGAGGAGGAAGGGACGAGGAGTTGCGCGTCGAATCTGTATCCGACGCCTCTACTTCTTCAGGCGACAGTGAAGATGATGCTGTGGATGACCACGCTACCACTGCTGGAACTGACTCGTGTACCCTGGTAATAGCCCAAAGACACAGAGTGTCGTGGAAACCTGGAAATATAGAGGCTGAGAAGGTAGGATTGACACTGATTTCTTCACACCAGGAGAATATCCCATGAAAATACCTTAGAGGATCTTGTTGGTATATTTATGGATTTTAGTTCTTCACTTAGCTCTCATCAGCTCATTGAGTGTGGTTACATTATTTAACGCCTCGCCTATTAAGAGTGCCAAGTCTGATAACGACAACAGTCCACCATATTGAAGATGTTAATGAAGCACTGACAATATTCTTTTGGTTGTGTATTTCAGGCTGACGTACTTGTCAGTTCTCAAGGAGCATGCGATAAAGCAATCATGAATTCCGGTGGTCCTCAGGCCGCAACCCCCAACGTTGGTGACATCACTGTCTCTGGTGGTTTTTCCTCAGTCAGTCACGTGATTCACACTAACTGTTGTAAGTGGAACAACGGTGGAGGGGAGCCGGTAAGAAACAATGAACTTTACGTAGTTAATCAAGTATTAGTTCACTTTTGAAGGAAAGGACCTTTCTAAAATACATCGAAGAATACTTGTTGTTTAGATTTGACGAAAGCCTAAACGATATCGGATGCCCGACTGGCGAATCCTATCCATTCTCTTGTAGGATACAGCAACTGAAGACTGTTTAGGCTCGATTTGATGTTATTTCCGATGTAGATTATCGCCAAACATTCCGTCATGTCAGACATGGTTTGATGCTACTCTCGTTTAAAGATTTAATGAATGTAACCGAGAAGTTACAATTCATAGACCCAATATTTCGACACTCCTGTCTAGTGTCTTCATCAGGGGTGATCTAAACGCTGCAACCAGAGGTCCTTTTATACGCTCACTAATTAGCTGCCTTTTTTCTAACGAGGTGTAAATGGGCGTCAGGAGGTAAGCCGCCATCATTACGATTTAGAGGAGCGTCGGCGGAGTTAATATGCCAGGCTTCTAAACAAAGGTGTTGGAAGTTTGGGTAACTTTCAATTTCTAATATCATACGAAAATCCTAATCAGAAATTTTGTAGAATTAGTAAGAGCAAATATCTTACTAGAAAAAAAAATTGAGCTGTGAAATTTTCACCACTAGAAAAGAATTAATTAGGCCCAAAGGTAATTTCCGTGAGGTTATAATTCAAACATCCTCGATGCTGATCCTGTAAGGAAATTACTACTGGTGTGAACATCCTACATGGCGCCCTCTTAATATCCTCTGAAAAATGTTAACAAAATTCAAGTTTCAGATAACTTTGATCTCTTGAAAACAGATTTCAGGAAGTCTAAAAATAGCTTGAAAGGGATTCAGTTTTTTAACCTTTTTACTTTAAGGAGTGACCAGTCAGTTTTTTTTCTCCTCCCTTTATCAATCCATTATCAACCGGAAAGGTGACGGGAAGAAGGAAAATATATCAATAAGGGGATATTGCATGACTTAACGCCAAATTTTAAGTGCCAAACTCAAAAAAAATGAACAGAAGACAGTGTGGAGAGTTGCTATTGAGATCACATAAGAATGAAATGATTGTCAACAACTTCTATTTCATCTTTTGTAGACGCTAAGGGCCATCGTTCAAAAGTGTCTGCAAACAGGCGAAACGCTTGGAGCGAACTCCATTGCATTTCCTGTCATTGGGACTGGAAACCTACACTTCCCACGCGATGCAGCCTCGAGAATCATGTTGGATGAAACAGTCAATTTCTGCAAAACCAACCCTGGTTCTAATTTACGGGACATCCGATTTGTCGTGTTTAACCAAGATCAAGCATTAACTACCGCCTTCAAACAAGAGATGGACAAACTACAGCCCAAGCAAACTAGCCTCCCTGCCTTCACGACTTTAACTAGAGGAATACGTTCCTTCTTTGGATGGAAGAAAACAGTGGGGACATTGGGTGTAAGCATTGAAGTCTTGCAGGGCGACTTGTGCCAGGAAACTACGGATGCCATAGTGAATATAACAAGTAAGGACTTGAATATGGACAGTGCTGGAAAGTTGAGCCAGACAGTGAAACAGCTAGCCGGGCCACAGGTTGAGACTGAGTTGAAGCAGTTCGGACAACAATCAGGTGGAACCGCATTGATCACCAGCAGTGGAAATCTCCCTACGCAGAAAATTATTCACTTAATTCCAGACACCAATAATAAAGACCACCTTCAGCAGTGTGTTGAAAGATGTCTTCGGCTGGCAGAGACGCATAGTCTTGGATCCATTTCGATTCCTGCAGTTGGTACCGGTGCATTCCATGTTTCTGCAGTGGACTCGGCCAGTCTGATATTTAAGGCCCTGACAAACTTTAGTGGAAGCTTCCGTAGTGTCCGCAAGGTCAGGATCGTAATCTTCGAGTCTCCAATGTTGTCGGCATTTCAGCAAGAACATCAGAGGCACTCGTTTTCTCCACAAGTAGGTGTGGCTCAGCGCATGACCTTAACTAGCCCTTTCAGTATCGAGGTGATAAATGGTGATTTGACGCAAGAGAACAGCACTGACGCTATCATGAATATCAACAGCACGGACATGAACATGAATAACGCCGGAGACCTAAGCAAAGCCATAGCAAGACAGAGTGGTCCACAAGTGCAACAAGAATGCAACCAATTGGGAAAGCAACCTCCTGGAACAGCGATAATGACAAGCGGAGGTAGTTTACAAGTACCTCATATTATTCACATAATTCCAGGCTCCTCAGATAAGCAACATCTCCAGCAATGTTTGGAGGAGGGTCTTCGCGTTGCGGACGCCAATAACTTTCAAGCTATCTCAATTCCGTGTGTTGGCACAGGAGGATACGGCTTGAACGGAGCGGACTCAGCCCAACTGACGTTCAAAGCACTAAATGCATTCAGTGCCCGCTGTAAAAATATTCAAAAAGTAAGAGTGGTCGTGTTCCAGGCCTCTATGATGCAGGAGTTTCTACAAGAGCAGAAGAAACAACTGGTGCAAGGTATTGAAGAAGACAGTGACTCAGAGGATGCAGTAGCCAGGCAAACCCGAAGACGCGGACGTAGGCAGGCACCAGGCCAAAGTGATGAACATTCTGTAAGAATTTCTGTGATCGGCAAAGACAAGGTGAGCGTGGGAAAAGCCGTGGAGTCCTTGAAGAAAGGTTTCTCTGACGCTTGTACAACGGAAAAAGTCGAAAATGAAATCGTCAGTCAGCTTTCCGATAAGCAGAAAGATATCCTGAGAAAAAAGGCTAAAGACCGTGACGTCAAACTTGAAATTGAGGATGACGTTGATCGCATTGTCGTTCGTGGTGGACCAACCGAAGTTTCTGGAATAGTCGGGGAGATCTGGAAAGAGATCAGCGAGAGGACGAAGAAGAAGCAGGAGGAAGAACAAGCGAAGTTGGTTTCAAAGAACATAGAGTGGAGCTATGAAATACAAGGCATACAAATGGCGTTCGCTCCGAAAGCAAATGCCAAGATTGAGTTGGCCCACAGCAAAGACGAGGACACAGTGCAAGTTTCTCTACGAGGAGACAAGTTTGTTATCAACTTGAAGAGAAACTCTGGACGTGGACAAACGTCTGGTGAACAAATAACACTGAAAAGAAAGGTGAAGGGTGCTGATGAAGGTTAGTTGCTATGCATTTCTTTTGAAGAGGATGTTTCGATAAGCTTTAAGAAAGGACTGAGAGCTATTTCATGTCCCAGAGGACGTTTAAGGTAATAAACATTTAATACAGGAAGGGGATATTCAGAAAAGCTGTCCTTAAATGTCTCCACTGAGCTTTCTTGATAATCTTGAATGTGTCTTACCTTGAATATGTTCTTGGATGTTGAAATTTAACTTCAGTCGATGGGTTTTCATTTCAACATTCTAATGTTTTGGTCCTTTCTGTAGGAATTGCTCTGCCAAAGCACTGGACACCAATGCCCAGCCATGACTCCACTGTACATAAAGTACAATTGCACCCAAGCTCCCCTGAGTATCAAGATGTGGTACGTAAGTTTCAAGCCACGGCCGGAGCGTTAAATATTCAGAGGATTGAACGCGTACAGAATCCTCATCTGTATCAGTCTTACATGGTACGAAAACAGAAAATGGATAAAGATACGAGAGGAAATAGTGAAAGACAGCTGTTTCATGGAACTGATGCTAAAAATATCAACCATATCAACACACAAGGATTCAACAGGAGCTTCTGTGGGGCTCATGGTAAGTCAGTTTCATTTTAAATAGAGGAGAAGTTTTCTCGTCTAGCTACGGGGTGGGATTAAGGAAAAATTTCAAGTACTTGTGAGGAATCGAACCTCAGATCTTCAGATTTCCTTGTTCAACGCTCTACTATTGAGCTACAGACTCTATGATGAGCAGGGTTTTCACGTGGTTAATATCTGGCACATCTTCCACATCCTGCAAGGATCATTCATTTCGAAAGCTTCGTGTGTTAAAAAAGAGCATTGACGCAACATTTTTGAGCGATTGCTCTTAACAAGTTAAAGCAATTTTTTGGTGAGACTAATAGTGTTTTGGCCACAATTCTATTCATATATTTGTCCACCTGTCCTAACAAGTGACCCAGACGTTGCATGAGCTCAGGCCAAATCACTCTTTGGAGCCAAAAATTGGTAATAAAAGCTGTAATAACGGAAGAATAAAACGTCACTGAATGTATGTTTTTTTTATATTTTTCTCTAAATTGAGCATTCTTTTTTTTTTCAGGCACGGCTTATGGACGTGGTGTTTATTTTGCTAGAGACGCTCAATACTCTGTTGGATACGCTGGGGGTGGTGGTTATGGAGGGCGCCACATGTATCTTGCCAAGGTTCTCGTGGGGCAGTATTGTGTTGGAAATCCTTCAATGATTGTGCCTCCACCAAAAAACCCATCAAAACCTGAAATTCTTTACGATTCTGTGGTAAATAACCAATTAAGCCCCAGCATCTTTGTTGTTTTCTTTGATAATCAGTGTTATCCTGAATACCTTATAACCTTTTGAAGACCACATGGACCTTTTACTTAGAAAACAGCAGAGTTAAAGGCCGAAAAAGCTTGAAATGCTTTATAGTTCAACTTAGTTTATCAGCTATATGAATTGCAGAAAATCGTTCTCCTTCACAGTGTAGGGAACATCATATAGATATTGGTTAAAGTTTCTCAATAGCATTCTTTACAGTCTCAACTCAAAGCTTATTCTTTATCCTATAAATTGTATGATTATATCCTTGGAGCTAGAGGGTCCTTGTAATGCCAAACAGTAAAATTCAGCTGAACGCTTTTTTATCTCAACAGTGGAGTTACCACTAGCCTACAGGCAGCAGTTGTCATTTTTTACGTTTCTCGGGCGAGCGTAGGGAAACGCGAGACATGCGCGGGGACCACGACATAGTCGTGTTCCTCGCCCCACGCGTTTACCTCGCGCTTGCCCCGTTTTCTCTCTTGGAAAAGAAAAGAGTTCTGCTGTTCTCAAAACGGTATTTTCCTTTTTACCGCCAGACTGACAAACAATATTTTGTTACATCAATTTTCTACCAAAAATAAAACTGGCGAAAGAAGAGAATTTCGAAAAATATACGTACCTTTTTGAGAAATGACAGTGACGTCGCTAAGATGACATTTGATTTATGATGTAAAAGATTTACTGAAAAGAAAACTTAGAGAAGCATTTATTATTTAGTTGGCAGCCAAAAGCTCGGTCAGAAAGTGTGGCATAGTATTACCCACGTGTTTCACGAATAGGTTTATTTACTGAAATAAAATATAGAAGGAAAAATTAACGTGTTAGTTTTTTTTCGTCTTCAACTAGTGGTTCTGTGGCAATATCTTACGTTTTTCGGTATGAACGAGTGAGGGAGAGGAAGTCCTACCAGCAGATAAGAACACTCAGACAAGGAAATTCCTATCAAAATTTCTATAATCGCAGTGTAAGTCTTCTGAGTAGAGTAATCCTTGCTTTTGTAGAGAGACCGTGCGACCATGAATGTTGCGTGACAAGCAAGTGGCATCACTTGTCACGAATATTTTCGCGCCAAAACTGAAGGGCTCATTGTCCGCAATTGACACTTTGTAATACTAGCTTGCAAAGGAAGGGAATCTTTTGATTTCCCATTCACACCTCCCATCTTATTCCTTCTCGGCTTTGAGGCTGTCCCCATCTGTTTCTGCCTGCCTCAAGAGAAATCAGCTTTTCACATATAAATACAGGCGAATAACATTAGGTCATTCATCCACCATTTTCAAAACAAGGATAAGTGCATTTGTAGTTTGATATCGTGTAATGATTTACCTCTGTAGTAATAATACTATTGTGACCGATTCTGCAATTATAAGCGAAATCTCTAAATATTTATTTAATAATCGCTTTGTAAGGGGACTGTTTAGTCTTTTTCCAACTTTTGATACCCTCCCACCTTGTCAGCAAGCCAACCGGAGCAAGAGCACGTGTAACAAAGTAAATCTTGTGTCATTTGCCGTATGGTTTTTCTGGCCATCGCGAGGGCGATGGTTCATACACGGTCAAACCCAAGACTGTGCAAAAGTTACATTTGAAATCTTGCGCGCGGAGTAAACGGCAATAGAATATTCCTCTCCAAGTTTTTCATCGTTTTTCATTATTTTAGAAATGTCTCAAAAGAGCGGCTGCGAAGAAGGCCTTTATGACGAGAAGTTGCAAGAACTAAAGTTAAAAAGACCACATTCGTTTTTTGCAAACTATTTCACACGCAAAGTTCGAGCCTCGACTCTGTGTACTTCGTTAGCTTCCAGGCATACTCGACTTTATGTTGTGTTAAATGCTATGTGCTTCTTGATCCCTTTTGTACGATGTTCCTGACTATTGTTTTTGACTTTCCGATTATCTTTTCTCAGAAGAGCCATCCAGATACCAAAAGTTGAAGTTCTCACATAAGTATCGATTGCCACAAGTCAGGTCCATTGAGAAGCGGCGAAAAGACTGGTTTCAACTCCTCCTCCTGTGCAAACCGGAGAGTCACCTGCAAAGATGCCCCGTTTGGCACATTATTTTGGTCCAGATCCGCAAACAAAATAAACATACAACTCGCTGTTAAAAAAGAAAGACTTGGAAAAGGTCTCGCAGACGCCTTCACAATTCAAAAGATCGAACACAAAGATGTTGTTAAGCTCTTTAAAAGACAGCTCATCAATCTCAAGAGATTCGCCGAGTTTACTGACGTGAAGTTGTTGATCACGTGTGCAGGTGTCATTCTTGTCCAGGGTGAACAGAGTGGCGTGACAGAGATAGTCAGCAAAATTTGGCGACGTATGAACGAAATATCCAAAGGTTTATTCGAAATTATATAAGAAAACGACCACGACAACTTACAATTACGCTAGGTAAGAATCTTGGTTTGACCAGCGAAACATTTCTAGATCACGCAAGCAGTTTTAGCTGCTACCGTGCCAATTTTCTTCTCGTGATGAGGGTTACCCATTTCGCTCACATTTATTTAATTTTCTTTTTACAAGAGAAGTAAACTTTAAAAATGCAGTCTTTTCATTCTCCGTGTCTTAAAAAACATCGCTGAAAATAACTGGATTCACACGTAACACACGGAAAGGAAAGTCCCAATTTGGCTTGCTCCCAGTTCCCAGCCTCTTTTTTCCCTCACGGTTTCCCAGGAAAACCGGAACTACTGTCCCGTTCAAAGTAAAAGTGCAGTGCATACGAATGAGTTATTTTACGACAGTGTTTCTGTCGGGAAAGGAAGAGGAATCCTCGCTTGAAAAACTGTAAAGATTGACGGTAAGTTTCTTGGATTCCTAATGAATTATCCTGATGTAATAATTTCTCAGAATTTTCAGGGATTTATCAGCTAACACAAGTTCTCGCGAGCGGAACAATTTTCCAGCTTTGCACTAGAAAATACAAGCAAATAATTCTACTTAAGTACTCTCAGAAGTGATATACGACTGCTTGTGTTAGCTCCTTGATAAAAAGATTCATAGCGAACTTCAAATATTTGCGATTGAAACTGCATCATACTCTTACTTTCTACTGTTTTCATTTGCACGGTAGTCTTTGAGTAAGCAGTTACAAAGATCATTTTTTTTTTAATTTCAGCATTCGCCAATTCTACTAGTCATCACGGTCAAATTTCAAGCTCGTGCCTCATCAACAATGGATGACGAATACTCATATTATGGTAAGGATGCTTCATTGCAATGTGCAATGAATGTAAATTGAAACCAAACCGATAATATTCTTGTGTACTTATACGAGCGTTTGCACCCGTGATTGTTGGACAGTCGATTTTGTACCTCTAGTTTTAGGTAAAGATTAGTGATAAATGGATTTAGAACGTAATCTGGTAGAATCCTGCGTTAAAGCGACCGATCGAGACATTTTTAGCTCGCATATCGTAGAAGTTGTATTACGCACCACTGCCTCACGCCTAGCTTGTGATCATGACTTCGCACATTTCTCGGATTCTTGTGAATTTCTCGAAGTTTTATGATGATTTTAGTTTAAGAAATAACGTGAAAGAGAAATTGTTGCCTGTTGCCTCAATGAGCGGGATTTGTCAAATTTGCTAAAAATTAAGCACAGCAATCTCGAAGGGTAGAAGCATCCGGAAGCAATTGTTTGCACTTGAAAACTTCTGATCCATGAACACTTTCACTAAAATTTCACAGTCAAGGAATGACGCCTCTTGAGATGATAGAGTCCTCAAAATTACTGGTTGATAAATCACAATCCGAAAAACATTTATTTCCTTTACTCATCGGAAGGACATTCCACATGTTATTTACTCGACTTAAACCGGATGTCATAACACGAGTGTAATTATATTCAACCACCATCAATTCAGCATTTTTAGACAGTCTGTTATACAAACAAATCGATATCAACACCAGGAAATAAATATTTCTGACTCAGCTTGCTTCAATCAGCTAGAAGCAGAAAAAAATTCTTTGTCGCAACGGAAAAGGTAAAATAGGCGGGAAAAAAACAATACCGTTAAATGAACCGTGTGCCTTGAATAAAAAAAAGGTCGCTACATATATCACAGGCATATTATGCATGCAAGAGTTATTTCAGTTGGGGTAGGTGGATTGATTGAAACATTGTAAGTGATGTCTACATTTTCACAAAAGGAAAGAGTACTAACGCGGAAAGGAACCAAAATGTCCAATTAAATCACTCACGGGTATTTTGTGGTCGATTGTGTGTGTTGGCGAATAGCTATAACCAAAAATATACTGTATTGGTGCCACGGATACCTGTTAGAACAAATTGCAGAATGCAGGGTGCAGACCGGATACAAAATGTACGCTAGGTACAAAATGTAGACTGCAGACTGCAGAGAGGGTACAAAATGCAGACTGATAATTTAAAGTGTTTTTTTCGCCTGGTATGTGATGACATGTCATCTTACGACTTACCGAGCGTCACGCAATCGCTCTTCCGCGATCAGCTTTCACCGTTATTTGCGCTATTGTAGAATATTCCTGGTCCGTTTCTTGATCAAAATCGTTCTAAATACAATTTCAAGCCTTCATATAGTCTTCTCACATTGCACGCGAGTCGGTTGGTGCGATGCTTGTACAGATTTTACCCAACTTACTGAAAGTAGATATAGATGTAAATGAGATGTCATTTTTGAATATTTAACACGCCCAATATTCGAGAAACAATTATTTTTAGGCGGTATGAGTTTATTTTGTTGACAAAAATGCGGACCGAGATAAAAACTGTTCCTTCGACTTGATGTATTTTCAACGTCAGTAGATCACGTAATTTTAACTTACCTCCGTAAATCATTCACTCCAGTTAACAGAATCAAATAAACATGCTAACGATGGTATTTGAATTCGTCCTTGGCTAAACATAAAAAACTCCACAAGCTCACTTTCTCCAGGCAGGAAAACTTTCCATTCGTCCAGTGTTCTCAAAATTACCCTCGAAACAGCCAAACAATTTCCCTCAACAGCCAATCATGACACAAAATCCACCTTGCAACACACTTGCAACTGTTGAAACTGCTAACATCGAAAGTAACACACCACGATGTTTACCATGAAATTTACTGCAAACAAACCACCAAAAATAAAAAACTTACCCATCTTTCGTAGAAAAATGGTGGTTTAATAAAAACACCTCCTAACATTGCATATAAATCAAACACGATGTCACATGAGGCGACAAAGCTTCCTAAGAGCCACACAAAATCTTCCATAGTTAATTTTAATTAGACATTCATCCAGAGATGGCATCGAGCAAACCAATCCATAAAAATATAATCGATACACTCTACAAATCATGAATATTGTAACATAACCTACCGTTAAAGAAATGCCTAAATCAAAATGTTTGGTACAATTCATCAACGCCTCAAGCGATACTTGATTCAAAATTTTTCCCCACTTTCTCGTCGTGAAGGAACAATAACCATGATCGCGCTACAGTGCACAGGACTCCATTTTCTCTCGAACAACTATCCACCATTTTCACAGCATGAGTAACACGTTTAATATAGATAATCTGATGTCTTTCATCTGTTCAGTAGTATCGCATTTCTCCTTAAGCGCGGTAAAATACACGTTAAAAACACAGAAAAGCCATCATTTCTCATTCTGAATGATGATTCCATCTTGCGAACCGCTCTCTCAGAATCCCCCATTACTTCGTTGAAATTTGAACATTTCTCAAACCAAAGAACAAAAACGACGCACTGATTGGTGCGAGATACATAACCTAATGCGGCGATCTGATCGGTGCGAGTAACATATCACTCTATACGCTAACATTGAGTTATTACCACAAAACACCTTTGTTTTTTTGTCGTCTTTTTTTTTCCTCCGCCACAAAATGGAAAAATAAGTCCGCAATGCGTGTGTGTGGCTTACGAAATTGAGCTGCTCTTTAGTGTCTGGTGTCTCATTGGGTTCTTATTAGAAGAGCTAATATCTGATTACCATTAGATAGTTTTCAATATTGATCCTGTTCATCAATAACACAAGATAACTAGCATACAAAAGTCCTGAAATGTTCATTCTGAAGATGAGAGTTATTGGCCAAACTTTGTTATGGAGGTCTCATTTTGACAACAAAGGTTGCACACGTAACCCAAGGATTTTAGGAACTGAAAAAACATCAGTATAACCTCCCATAGTGGTCTGATAAATTCAGTCATGATTGTGTTTACGTAACGAAGTGGAATT